AAGGCACACTTTATCTAGATGGTTTGTTCTGTCTTACCTTGTTTAAATATTTCAAAATATATGCTTCTCCTCTTCAGCAAAATAGTAAGTCATATATATAATGTTTTAAACACATACAATTAAATAACATAAAGGAAAAATGAAATTAAAAAACAACCCTATGAAGAATAAAGAGACAGAATTGAACACAAAATGAGGCATAGGGGAACTGGAAAATAAATAGCCAAAGCTGCTGTAAAGTTTTTTTTATATATAATGCATAAAGCATGGCAAGAATATTAAATAGATAAATGGTTTAAAACTTTGTTTTTTATGGCCCTGGGAGTGTTATGGCAGAGGGCCAACGGGAGGATGTTGAACAAAAGAGAAGCCAAGTAAGTGGACAGGCATCAGGCCTGTTTCCTCACTCAACCCCCGCTAGAACAATCAGCTCCAATGAATCTCTTTGATTTATATGGGAATTTTGTGTACAGTTTGTTTGGGGGTGGGGTGGGGGGAAGGGCTCTGTTGCTAAAAAAATAAATTACAAAATCAAAACATAAAAAATAAAAGAAAGTTTAGCCTCTAGTTAAAGCTTCTGTTTAAAATAACATTCGAAAACCTACTGATGATATATACAAGGAGGAAATTTCAACACAGGGGAAACATGCTCTGAGCCTGCGAGTGGCAGAGGCTCGTCTCCCTCGTCTTTTTGTCCTACCACAGTTCTGTTTGACTGAGGTTTGTTGATTGAGCAAATGAAAGGTTTGCTTGCAGGTTATTATTCTTAGTTTTTCCTGAATTTGACCAAAGTCAAAATATAAAGTAGGATGCTGAGTTCTCCCCTAGTTAAAATGGAGAGATCTGAAAAATAAAGGAGGTACTGATGAATCCTCTAACCTTGTATGATCTAGATCTGTAACCTTGGATTGGTCGAGTCTTCCTTAAGAATACACAAAGATTAGAAAATACATCTTCATATGGAATTTCTTCCTATGATGGTTGATAGTCTTCCTAGGCTATCAACTTGACTGAATCACAAGGTGTCTAGATATTGGGTCAAATGTTATTGTAGGTGTCTAGGAGGAAGTTTCCAGATCAGATTAATATTTGAATTGTTAGGCTGAGTAAAGCAGATGGGTCTTCCTATTTTGGGTGGGCCTCATCCAATCACCTGAAAGCCTGAATAGAGCAAAAAGGGCTGACCCTCCTGGGGTAAGAGAGAATTCCTCCTGCCATACTGACTTTGAACTTGGATACTGGTGGTGTTGTTTTTTTTCCAGCCTTTGGACATGAATTGAAACATTGGCTTTTCCTGGGTCTCAAGCCTGCTGGTCTTTGAACTAGGAATACACTATACCCTCTCTTGAGACCCCAGCTTGATAACTCACCTCCAAGGCCTTAGAACTTGTCAGCTACCATACTTCACACACACACACACACACACACACACACACGCACGCGCGCACACATGCACGCGCGCACACACACACACACACTTTATGGTTGTG